CGTTAGCTGAGTTCTGATGGGGATGTGAACTTCACAAGTCAGGCCCTTCTTTAAAGTTTGAAGTTGCTTTCCCACACACCACTGCACATTTAGCTAAATCCTTCAGTTACAAGGAAAAGTGTTGTTTCTCTCCCAGTGTGTCTATCTGGAAGCAGTTAGTTCAAAGTATACACAAAAGAGTTGTTTATTCAAGGTTTGGGAGGGCGGGTGGGATGAATTCAAAACAGCCTTGTTCACATGGTTGAATATGGTGCCAATTTTAATTGAAAAACAGATTCACTCACCTACTAGGAACGAGGGAGAGATTTCATATTTACTCTCCCTGTAAAAAGATTAGATATTGTGAGCCTAGGACTGCAGTAGGAGATGCTAGAGTAATGAGGACACTTACTCTGAAGAAACTAATGCAAATATTTAGGTTGAATAACAACTAGAATCACTTCCAGTAAATGAAACCTTTGGAACCAGCTTTGGCAATTTGGATGATCAGAAGCCTGTCAGTGATTGCAAAGAGGAACACTTCAAATGTCTAAATTAGTGCAACCATGCATTTCTATTTAGGGTAACCTAAAATATAGGATGTTTCACAGTGTTGGATAAAATACATCATCTTTATTTCTGTGCAGATTTTTTAGGCACATACCTCTTGGGTGCTTTGCCAATACATTTATTCTCCACACCCCTGCAAGGTGGAAGAAATACTGTCCCTATTTTGTAGGCAGAGGAGTTAAATTGTGAGATTTTCCTTAATTTTAGTGGAAATTGGGGCACAAATTTCTTCAAGTGCCTAGAAAAATCCCACCTGAAGTGACTCACTCAACATCATACAGGACAGGACATCTGTAAGGGCATGTCTATATTAGCGAATTATTTTGAAATAACTGGTATGACAGGGTCAGGCCAGAGGGCTAGATTAGGGAGAGAGAAAGGCAGCAAGGGCCTTGGCTAATCAGGAGCAGGGGAGTCAGGACTGCTGTAAATCAGTCAGGACCAGCTGATCTCACTTCAGACTGACAGGGAGTCTTTTAAAAAGGAGCCTTCCCTGCTGGAAGAGGAGAGAGTGGGAGAGGAAGTTGGAGTGAGAGGAGACCAGACCAAACTGGGAGAAAACCAGAAAAACTGAGAAACAGCAGTGGTGCCAGAGACTACAAGAGGGGGGTGAGGAGTTCCATTGAGGGGGTTTGGACTCCCTGTTCCCCATAGCCTAAAAGTCCAGCCAGTAGCTGGAGGGGACTGTTTATCCAGCCCAGGATGACCAAGGGCACCTACCCTTGTAGCCAAGTGACGAAAGCCCAAACTCTGGCAAGGACAAGCGGGACCAGTGTTGCATTACTGAGACTGCCAGCTAGAGTATTGAGCAGGGATTACCCTGCCACACTCCCCTTATTTCAAAATAACAGGATGAGCATCCACACAGCAAGCCCGTTATTTTGAAATTATCTTCCTGACCCTGCGAGTGCCACAGGCTAAGGCAACACCACGAGGGCCTGGTGCAGGAACTTCTTGACTGCCTCTGTTCTCTCAGCCAGAACTTTGAGGAGTGCCAGGGTTGCCGGGCTGATCAGGAGCTGAGGAGGAGGATGTGGGAGCTGCTGTAGCATCAGCATGAGGCCATGCTCCTCAATTATCACTATCATGGAGTGCATAATCATGGTTATGGAGTGGTCCACAAGCCACCTCCTGGCACCCACCCCCGCTCCCCTGGCTTCTCCTCCTAAGCTCCCCAGTGACCGCTGGGGCCTGTGAACTTGTGGCAGTAGGACCTCCTGGGCAGCCAAAGCCTCATGAGGTACCCGAGGCAGGCCGCCAGTTCCAGCCCTATCCCTGAGACCCTCCCCTGTGGTATATTCCCCAAATAAAAATTGCTGTTGTTTTTTCAAACAAAAATACGGTGGTCTGTAGGGGAGGAGGAAAGGGAGGGGTGGAGGAGAAGAGGTACACAGGGACAATGCAGAGGCTCCTTGTGGGTAGCTTGTGGGAGAGTCTCACAAGTGGCCTTGGCTGAAACTCTCCCTCAGAGCCTCCCAGATGAGCATAGCCCCCTGATGGGCTTTCCAAATGGCACTGGTGTCTGGCTGCTCAAAAGCCCTGGCCAGCTACTCAGCCTCTGCCCCCAGGTGTGGCAGGACAGTCTCCCCCTTGCTCTCACAGATACTGTGGAGCACACAGCAGGCCACCACCACATGGGGGATGTTCTAGTTGCCGAGGTCCAGGTGGGTGAGGAGACTCCGGAACCTCCCCTGGAGGCGGCTTAAGGCAGTCTCCATAACTATGAGGCACCTGCCGAGCCTAGTATTGAAGGACTCTTTGATGGGGTACAGGTTGCCCATGTAGGGCTTCATCAGTCAGGGGAGCAATGGGTAGGCTGCATCACCCAGGATGCACATGGGCATGTCCATGCTCCTGATCTTGATGGTGTGGTCGCGGGGGTGGAGGGGGTGGAAGAGTGGGAAGTGCCAGCGTGCATCTTGTGGAAGACGCTCGAAGATGCGTCATGTGTCTTCCCTGACCACCTGATGTAAAAGCCTGTGACCCAGTCCTCATGGTCCATGGGGGCCTGCAGCACAACGGAAAAGTACCCCTTTCTATTTATATAGTTGGAGGCACAGTGGTTGGGGACCAGGATGGGGATGTGGGTGCTGTCGATGCTACCCCCTGCAGTTGGGGAAGTCCATGGCAACAAAGCCAGTGACAATGGGGTCCACCTTACTAGTAAAAGACTCAAACCTTCATTAGCACAGCCCCAACCATCCATCTCCCCATGCTGAAACTGGTTCCCCACCGAGTAGTAGCTCTCCAGCGTGGCAAGCTTCCAAAGTGTGATGGCGATGTGCTTCTCGAGGGAGATGGCAGGTCTTATGCAGGTGTCCTGTCTCCTGAAGGCAGGAGTGAGCCACTCACAGAGCTCCAGGAAAGTGTCCTTCTGCATGCGGAAGTTATGGAGCCACTGCTGGTCGTCCCACCGCTGCATGTCGATACGGTCCCACCCGTCGGTACAGGTCTCCCACTGCCAGAAGCAGCATGATTTGCATAGGAGGATGGAAGGGAATGTGGTGCGTGAGGAGCACTAGGGCCTGCATGAGGATGTCCCCCAGTCGGGCTGGTCTTCATGCTCCTGCAGCACTCTGAGTGTGAGGGGTCGTTTTCCAGGATAGGTTGTAGATTTTTGTTAGTCTTTAAGGTGCTACTAGTCTATTTGTTGTTTAAGTTTTTCCTGTTGCAGACTAACTTGGCTACCCTTCTGAAGAACAGAAAATAAAGACACCACAGTCTGTTTGTGTTTGTACCCTGTGTTTCTGTGTAATGAATGGGGAGCAGGATGGAAGAACAAACACCACTCAGGTTGCCAGGTTAGGCAACTGGTTAGATTAGAATATGCGTATATGATACTGCAGTATACATTCTCAGCCATGGCTGGAGAGCTTTTCTGAGTGCCTTTGTATACAGTCTACAAGATGTGTAAGGTTGCAATGTGAGATGATCATTATAGGCATGAAACAGTTGCTCAGAACTGCCCTACAGGCAAACACTTGAGCTGTATTATAATATTTCTGTAGTACTTGTGCTCTCGGCCAATTGTCTTCCATGTCCAAATAGTGCAAGTAATTTTTGTTCGAGTTACCGCTATTAGTTGTAATCTGTAGGGGTGATGGATGAGTTCCAGTCGTGTGTGGAAAGCTGTACTGATGCCACTTAAAATGGATTTATTTCATACCTGAGAGAACAGTTCCTCATCTAGACATTCTCCTTTCATTCAGACTGGAGTAAAGCAGAGGTAAGTTTAAGTTAAGTGGAAGCTGGTATAATTGAGAGGAGAATCAGACTAGTGTATGGGTGAGTCTCGTGCAGAGCGGGCAAGTAGAATGTCGCAAGAGAGAGTTTTGGGGGGGGCTGGCAGACAAGCAAAAATAGTTATTTCTGTTTGTGTTTTCTTTATCTCCAGTCATCCTGGTAATGGTTGTGTACCTAGATGTTGCTGGTAAACCTTCATTGTGTTTTTGTAAGCTGAGTTGTAGCTGTTTGATTCAACTCTTAAGGGCGTTGGGTAGGTGATGGCCACCCAAATCTTTTAGGCGCTTCTGAAAAATCTCACCCATAAAGGCAAGAGCACTGATTTCTGAGTCTTCGTTTCTTCTGTATGGATTGGGAACCCAGTGATCTTGACAGTTGATTGCCAATAGAGGTTTCTCATTCCCATACTTAGGACTACAAGAAAAAAATAGTGCTCTGAAAAGACTGGACCTATTTTTGCGCTGCCCAGCACTCCTAGTTCACCAAAAACTATACAAAATACTTGCAGATAAAGGGCTTGGGTTCCCCTAGAGACAGATGCATTGTCTGTATGTGGGGGCCCCCTCATCAGCTCAAGGGAACACATCTAGCAGGTCTTGGCCTGATCCATCCTTTTTCTTCAAGCTACTTTAAAGAGACCACACAAGTTGTGGGAAGAAACAGTGCAAATTTCTCCAGGCTACAGGCAAGGGGAGTAATGCTGCTCCCAGTCCCGCACCAGGCTCCCATCCCAGTGTTGGACCCTTTTACTGCCTCTTTCATACATACCTCTCCAGCCATCAGTAGCAACCATCTTTTATGCCCATATTTCCACACTCTAGTTTGGGCACTCCTCATTCCCCAGCCCAGTACTAAATGCCACTCATGCTCACTTGTCTGTCCCAAACTAATTCCCATCTGGGGAATGACTGTGACCCCTTGGGAGGCCCAGGGGACTGGAAAAGGTCATAGAATTTATTGCTATGCTATGAAGACTGATGCAGTGTTTTAAGCAATGTAATATTAATTATTTTCAGAAGCCAATGAATAGATGCCCACAAGTAGTTTGGATCTGAATTCCCTCCACTGAATCCATCGCTCTTCGATGCCTGTGATGTCATCAAGTATGTTTTCATGTCCTTTGGTTTTTTCAGACTACTACTTCAGGATAGCAGATGAACCCACCTCTCCTAAGAAGCCTAAGAATGCCCCTGAGCACAATTTTGAGAGCAGGTGCTCAGCCCTTTCCTCTAACTGGACTTCTGTGAGAATCATCCCAGAGGAAGAAATGACCGAACATGACCTTCTGGCCGTTCGAGTCATGGTAACCAGTGATGGAAGCAGGTATATAACCTACAACCACCTTCTCCCCACCACACTCACAAAGCTGGGTCTGTTTCTCCCAGGAACAATTTAACTACAAAATACAGTGCCTGGAGTTTCTTCAGAACTGACTGTTAATCACTGGCTAGACATATGACTTGCTTAACAGGACATTTTCAGACATTCACATCCCACACAAGGGCCTCAATCACATGATCCCTGATCTAATCCAGTTCAGCTATCGTTTTCCAAAAGTGACTGTACAGGAGTTAGAACAGTGGGAGTACAGTCATGGCAAAAAGGTCACATGACATGACTCTTATCTCTCAGAGAGAGGCTTCCCCGCCTCAGTAGTTCTTCTGGTTGTATGATGGGACTTTCTGTCCTTATGGAATTATAAATCCGATCATACTTTGATACTTGTATAAGAGACCCCAAGTCTTACATCAAAATTGAGAACATTAGACTTAAGCTTCTGTGCTCAACACTTCCTCCTTGGTAAGAGTCAGCTTACACCTATACAAGAAAGGCTAAGTCTGGATTTTTCAGTGAGACCAATTCTGCCTACTTAATCTGTTGGAAATGCAAAAATCTTTGATTAATAAGGAACTTTATTAACATTTTAGAATTTCTTTAAAATATCCATTAACTATCTTTTGGAGTTTGCTAAAATTAGATAATGTAGTCTCAGAAAAATTTGTCCTACAAATGTCTTGCATAACCCTCTGCAGTGTATCACATGTTTGGAAATATCCAATAATGTGTATTTCAGACCAGAGGGAAAAAATTCATTTCAGGATTCATCTATTACTGTCACAAGGGAAAACACAGCTGAGTGGAGGGAGAGATTCATATTTTCCTACCTATTGGCTAGAACATTTTGTAAAATGGAGGCTTACTGTGTAATATGTTTGGAACCAACAATAATACAGTGTGAGGAACAAGGTGGGTGATGTAATGTGGGTTTTTTGTATTGGACCAACTTCTGTTGGTGAGAGACACAAGCTCTTTTGCAACTGTGTATGTGCTCTACTATTCTGGGACTGACATGGCTATAACACTGCATACACTAATACAGTGTGGCTGTTAGTCCTCTGTGTGGCTGGACCACATACAGGTATTTGAATCTGTTCCAGCCTGTGATCTCTTGTATCTGGTCCTTTTGCTCAAGCAATAGAAACTTGTGCTTTAAAATGTAGATCTCTTTGGTTTAGTCCCAGCAGGAAACCCAGCCTAGGCTGGTGTTACATCTGTCAGCAAAATAGCTTGCACTATCTCTGCTGATATTGCTTTCCTGGTGTTACATTAAAACTGTAATCAGTTGTCTGACATGCTAGAGAGGGTACTTCAGTGAGTAAGTACGTCACTGGTCTAAAAAGGGAACAAAATGAAATAGCAAGTGACAAATGACATTCCGTGATTTAACAGTGCATTCTGTTCATGGGATTCTCAGTGGGAAGGTGCAAATGACAAACTAAATAAAATATTACGTGCGTTAAAAAGGCTTTGCTGCTTAGTACTACGTGTTGAACCTCTTTTGTCCAGCACCCTCACAACCTGACCAGTGTTGAACTAGAGAATTTGCTGGACCATGGAAAGTCAATATTTGTCTAGCAGCCAACACTTCCCTTGCTTACTGTCTACTCCTTTAGAAGACATTTATGGGTAAATTCAAGTTAAATAACAGCTCAGAACACTCAGATCCAGGGCTGGTGGCTGTAAACAAACTTTACAGGACCACGGGAAACTTGGCCATACCCGTGATAAGTGGACATTCCAGCTAACTAAAATTGGATGTTGCTGGACTAGAGTGTGCCAAACTATAGAGGTTCAAACTGTAGCTTTATGAATGACTACCTAATGAGTGAAGATTAGAGGACAAACTTCATACAATGGTATTTATAGTCTTTGCAGCCAAAGAAAATAAATACTTTGTGGGATGGGGGATTGTCCTTTAAAACAAAAGACCTCCATCAAAGTGAGTGGCATTTCCCTTTTTTTTTCTTATGGAACAGTGCCCAATCACAATGGTTTATCAATCTCCAATAATAATCCTGATTATCAAAGACTTAAACAGGGTTTAATAAAAATAGTTTCAGGCTTTGTTCGTTTACTAGAAATCAAATTTGATGCCTGTTATAAGAGGACTTCCTTGGCTGTTATTCTTCAGTGTTTCCATATATAGGGTATGTCTACACTACAAAGTTAATTTGAAATAACAGCAGTTATTTCGAATTAACTTGAATAGCATCTACACAGGCAAATCGCTATAAATTTGAAATAGTGGAGCCCTTATTTCGAATTTGGTAAACCTCATTCTACGAGGAGTAACACCAAATTCGAAATAGCTATTTCAAATTAAATGCTGTGTAGACACTTAATTCGAAATAGAGGACCTCCAGCCCTTCCCAGGGAGCCCGGGTGGCCACTCTGGGCACAACCAGGAAAACTTATTCTCCTCTCCCCCAGCTCCAGAGCCATTAAAGGGGTAGACCCTGGCCACAGTGCCTGTGCCAGCTCCAACCCTGCCAGCCCAGAGCCAGCAGTGGCCACCGGGGCCCCTGACTCAGCCCAGCAAAGCCACTGGCAACCAGCCCTCCACCGCTCCCCAGGAGCAGTCTGCCAGCTCTCAGGAGCCTGACAGGGGCTGGAGAAGGTGGGCGCTTTCCTGGTCCAGGGTGGAGATCATGGACCTTATTCAGGTTTGGAGGGGATGCCCCCAATTTCCGTGATCTGTGCACTAGACAGAGGAACATGGCCGTCTATGGCAGGATAGCTGCCAGCCTGGCCACCAAAGGCCACATGCAAACCCGAGAGCAGGTTTGCATGAAAGTCAGGTTGGTCCGGTGAGACCCTGAGCTTCCCCTTCTCCTTCCCCTTCCCCTTCCCCTTCCGCTTCCCCTTCCCCTTGCTTCCCCCTTCCAGCTCCCCCCTCCCAGGTTTCCTCCTCCCCTCTCCCACCCTCTCTCTTCCCCTCTCCCACCTCCTTTTCCCCTTCTCCT